CTTTATTAAGATTCATGATGTTTATCATGAAAATACATCCTACCCCATCATATCTCTACCTCCAGCCTGCAGTGATGACTCATGGCATGACTGATGCATGAACTCACGGTTTTTCAGATCTCCGTCTGCTCAGCTCCATAAATGGAACATTTCATCTCTCTCTCTCTCTCTCTCGCTCTCTCTCTCTCGCTCTCTCTCTCGCTCTCTCTCTCTCTCTCTGTATGTCTCTCTCTCTCTCTCTCTATCTCTCTCTCTCTGTGTCTCTCTCTCTCTCTCTCTCTCTTTCTCTCCCTCTCTCTCTCGCTCTCTCTCTCGCTCTCTCTCTCTCTCTCTCTCTCTCTCTCTCTCTGTGTCTCTCTCTCTATATCTCTCTCTCTCCCTCTCTCTCTCTCTCTCTCTCTCTCTCTCTCTCTCTCTCTCTCTCTCTCTCTCTCTCTCTCTCTGTGTCTCTCTCTCTCTCTCTCTCTCTCTCTCTCTCTCTCTCTCTCTCTCTCTCTCGCTGTGTCTCTCTCTCTCTCTCTATCTATCTCTCTCTCTCTCCCTTCTCTCTCTTTCCCTCTCTTGTTCCCACTTTAGTTCATTATCAATAACAACATCAACACTTCAGGAGTTCATTTGTATTTTAAACGCATGACTTACAGACCTACTGAAATAGCGTGATAAAATCATAATAATAGCATAACAGGTTATAACTATGTTGTAACAACATTTGTAAATATAGAGGTGGGGCGCAATGTAACTTTATACAATAGACTTTTGCATTGTAACAGTTAAATAATAGACAAAAATATTCAACAGGAAAAAAGTGTATCTTATTATTTAGGCTAGATATGAATGAGGTGGAAGGAATAGCTTTTTTGTCGAGTTCCATCCCTTTAGTAACTGATGCTATGCAATATACAGCATGCAGTTTACAACGATAAAGGGGACAGAGTTGCCACTTGGATCGTGAATAGTTTTAAGTACTGAGCCTTTTAAAACAGAAGTGAACAAAAGTTGCTTCTTTAGCTGACTGTCAGCCTTAGTCTATATTGGTTCAAACCAATGGACTAAGTAAAGGCAAGTGTTGCTACCACCTGTATGTCTTCACATGTCTTTTTGTAATGCCTACTAATGCTACATTGAGTGTCTTAATACTTCACGCGTATGCTTATTTAAAAGGCTAATCTTGGGCTGCTTCCATCTTTTTTTCTATCTTTGATCATAATGACATTTGAATATGTGTAAATTCACTGCCTCTCTTGGAAATAAAGAACTTAAAAATAGCGTACCAGAAAAGTTTTGCATCCAGCAAAGAAGAGACTGAGTTCATAAAAGAGCAGCAGAGAAATGTTTAAGACATTTCAGAAATGTCCTGATCCTATTTTGGTTGTGAATCTTGGGAGTGACAACAGGAAGCTGCTGCTCTTTGTGAACAAGAAAAGCACAAACATGTGACAGACAATGTTTCCATGCCTGCAGGGTGTGACTGCTGCTTAACACTATTAAATAGATATAGGTTGTTGTACTTGAAGGCAGCACGTCATACACAAACTGGAGGTTGCAAAAAGTTCATAAGATTATAGAGCACACTGACAATCCAATCATTAAGCTTAAAAACTGTATTTTCTGTATTTTGACTTGATATGTTGATGCAACGCAAAACTGTTATCATGTTAATGCTTTAAATCCTCAAAGCCTTGGTGAAATAACCTTGTGAGTACTGCCATCAAAATCCACTTAATCCACGAGACACTCTGCTTGTGTAACTGGCACCAGTGTGCATAGAAAAAGGAATGAAGCACTTCTACTCACATTACATTTACATTAAAGATATTTAGCTCTTGCTCTTATCCAAAGCTAATTATGATGAGGGCAGCAATAAAATTAGCTTAGACTCTGTCTGATGGTGCCCTGATAATAGATCTGAGAAAACAATTTTATATTATGACACGACTTCTCTGCCAAAAAAGTTCTATAAAAAAAAAAAAATTATAGAAAGAAAGAGTGAGATGGGAGGAGGCTCAGATTCAGACAGCAGCATATTTGCAGGCGGATGTGGCAGTGAGAGGCGAGTGGGGGAGCGTGGGACGTGAGATATTTCTGCAGGGGATGAGTTTTAAGTTTGAAGGGAGTGGTTGTGTCGTCCTGACTGAGATTGTTCCCTCGCTGCTGAATCAGGGAGACTTTCTGGAGTGAGGTCCTGACTTTTAATAAAAAGTGGACTCAAAAATCGACTAAAGTTAGTGGCTGCTTTGATTTGTTTTGAGGCAGTGTGGCCAAAGTATAACACCTATTATTTTTGTATGACAGTGACCAAGTGACAGAAGGTTTTAAAATCTGATTGCTATTTATATTTAACAGCTTTTTGACAACACAGAGCTGGAGAAAAGGATCACACCACCATATCTGTGTAAATGCAAATTTCCAGTGTGACGAAACAGATTTCATGAGTCACTATACAAATTACATGGTGGGTTTGATCATTCAAGGAGGAGTGAGCCATTAGAAACACTCAAATGTATTTAAAGGTCGTGTTTTGAATACAATACAATGAAGGTTCTCAGATTAATTGAGGAGTCAGACCTCTGTCTTGACAGTAATGACCCATTTCTTGTGATTAATTTGGGAAAAAAAGCAGCAGATAATTAGTGGTTTCCTACAGTGGGCGTCATAGGGGCTGAATGCAGAGGCATTATTTTCATTATCTTAAAGAAGAGCTGACACTGAAGAATGGGAGGGATCCTATGAGCTGTAATTAAAACAGTTTATGAAAGTCTTTGCTTAAATCTCTTGATGTTCTCCTGTGCTTTTTCAGTCAAGTCATGTTTTTGGATGTTTTGTGAATACGCAATTGATTATTTTTGTTGTAGATTTCATTAAATCTTTAGATTTTTTTTTTTTTTTTGCCTATTTGTTTTCAATGGATAGGGCAGCTGAAGAGAGACACAGGAAATGTTGGGAGAAGAGAATCGGGGATGACATGCAGCAAAGGGCCAAGGTCGGATTGGAACCCATGGCCGCTGTGAAGAGAACTACAGCCGACAGAACTGCTAGGCAATCAGCGCCCGAGAATCTGTTGATTTTTTTATCTAAGCTTGCAGCACCCCTCAAGAAATGGAAAATTTTGTAGACTGACTAAAAAAAATTATATTTACATTTATCAGATGTGTTAGATGAAAATCTTCTTAAACCAAAAGTAAACATTATTAAAAGAACAGAAGCTTGAGCCATCAATATTTATGTTCGTTTTGTTTAAAAATAACCTCAATTGTACAAAAACATAAAGCAGTTGCACTAACTGGTTTTCTTGGTCCAAAGATTGGACTGTTGATTGGACGGTGGGTTTGGTTGTGTCTTCAACAAGATATTTTCTGTTAAAATGCACATGAATGGGCACCAGTGCCTAGTGGTTTGTTTATACGCACCATGTGCGGAGGGTGTAGTCCTCAGACGTGGTTCAAGTACGACCTGTGGCTCCTTGCCTGCATGTAATTCCCCACTCTCTCTCTCTCCTCTCCAAAGTCATTAAAGCCAACCTCACTCTAAATCTTTTATAAATGCACATGAATAAGAATATCATTAAAGTTTAAATTTGATGCCAGAAAACCACTGCGGCTTCAACAACCATCCAGTTTCTGTTTTGGTTATTTTTGTTGGATAAAAATGATACATCATGATGATTTTGTACGAAATGCTCAACTTATTACAAGTTGTATACAGTTATTTTTGGGACTTCAAACAGGTTCAGGGTGTGCTGCTGCAGAAGAAAAACCGCACTAACATTGGCATGGCACTGTGATTTGGTTCTCAAATGACAGTGCTGTTGGACGATTTCAGCTTTTTTTCATGCTGAAACTCATTGTGTCCTGGACTAATGTTGAGCTTTATGTGATTTCTGAGCATCTTCACATAATCTTAGCGTGATGTCTCCTTTGATGACCCATCTTCATTGATTTCTATGATTCTGTGATTTGCATTTATACCATATAATTCAGACAAAACTCTGCATTCCCATTTTACTTCCTAATTCCTTGTATTATACATTTTCCTCAAAGCTTTAACTCTCATCAATGTTTTTAAAGTACTCATTACTCAACGATGCACATCTTTTGGTGTTTAATGATATTAAGAACATTTTTTAACAGATTGCCTTATTTGACTGATAGGGTCAATTAAGTCTGTTAAATAATACAGGAAGCAATGTAAACAGAAAAATAAATCAAGTGGGTTTACATAAATTAGCATAATCACAATTATAATGCTTGACTGCATGTTGATTATAAATGTATGGAGAAAAATTTGCATCAGGCTAATTATGTGATAAAGTGGGTTAGCAGGGAGTGTAAAATGACACTCACTGTACTTTTTTTTTTTAAATAACTCATTATTATCGTTATCATTACCTGTCACTATTTCCTGGATGGAGGTCCCACGGTTTGCGCAGATCCCCTCACCAGGGTCTGGAGCCTCCCAGAGGTCTTCATTATGTCAGAGAGGAGTTAGTGCCACTGGCTCTTACTCATCGAGCTTCTCCTCCTGTGTACTGGGACATTAATGTTTTCCACCACGGGGACTCCCTCCTCACAGTTGAGGACACAGTTGGCTGCAGAGGTAATGAATAGTCCCTGCCTGTAGCCCCAGTCCTGCTTCAAGCCGCCCAGAATGAAACAGTCACTGCCCATTTCTGTGAGGAAATCCTCTGAACTTCTCTCTAACCTGAGAAACAGCATAATGAGAACAGAGGTACCTGCACTTAAGAAGGAACAAAAAAGACTGAACAAATTTACACATTTATACTTTTTGTAGAACTTTAGCCGCACAGGGACTTTGGCTTTTCTGAAACTTTTCACTTTCCACTTCAGAAATGGTTTCAGTTTTTTACAGAAATAAGGAGATTCTAGACCTGTGGTTTGACCACAACTGAAATACTTCAACTCATAAGATGAAGAAGAGTCACTGCTCGTACTATAACGTATAAATGTTTCTCCTTTCTTTGTGTTTGTAATGTTGGAATGCAGGTGTGGCAGTGTGGCGGCAGTGTCGAGGTCCTGCCTTGTGCTCGTATTGCCCACATAGAGCGCGCTCACAAACCCTACACGGAGGACCTGACGACTCACGTGAGGAGAAACGCCCTCAGAGTGGCAGAAGTTTGGATGGATGAGTTTAAGAGCCACGTGTACATGGCCTGGAATATTCCAATGGAGGTGAATGATCATGTCATTACAATGTTTTCTGATAAACAAAACTTTGAGATCATACTTTAATGAACTTGGCATGTTGATGAATCTCAGCATGCAGAGTAGATATTTCAGTGATTTCAGGTGTCTTTATTGGTACCTACAATTGTTAAGTTGTTGTTCAGATGAAAGATTAAACATTCAATAGATAAAAACAGCACATTTCAGCTTTAAATAATCAAAGGATGTCCAGACAAAGTGCTCATACGAAATTCTATGTTTTGCACTGACATCACAATACATTCAAGTCGTAAACAATACTAGGATGTAATTGTTTGTTTATTAGAGATTACTCACTCTCTGTGCCATGTTGGAATATGAAACAAAACAGAAAATAATCAAAAAGAAAATAACAAAGAAATAAATGAAAATCTGGTAGAAATCTAGGATTGGCTTAGCCTTTGCAGAACAGTCACTCTTGTGTTCATTTAAATGTAATTACTTTGAGGAAAATCGACCTCTCTTGGGCTTATTTGACATTATTATCTTAAATACATGATTTTAGCATTTGACCTTCTACCAGATGGGTTTATTCCCAATGAACAGTTCTAATCCTTTTCTTTGTCAATTAGTCAAAACCTAAAGCTGTTTAACGGAAGAAGATAAAAGACGTACACCCCTGAAAAGGCTTGCCTGTTTTCCGTAATGCAGAGCCGGATCATAAGCTCCTTCCTTCCTATGTGTTGTATCGTTGAGATGAAACTGTGAATACTTTAAAAATCAGTACATATAATAAGGTGTTTCATTCGTCAAATGTCACATGTCAGCTAAGAAGCTGGCTCCAGCCTGCACTGACAGATACTGTTGAGACATCATATACAGATAAAAGAGAAGAAAACACCTCTGCATTAGTATCACAAGTCAGAATAACACAGTACAGGTGTCACTGTATCAGTAATAGCACAACACAGAATATTGTAATCTTGATTATTTGTCCCATCCCTAATGCAGACACGTCATCAAGAAGCTTTTTCAAAGGGTTTCCTGTTTGGAGGATTTGTCGTTGCAACCTTTATGTTATAATCCCCGGGGAACATTCATACTGACGTCTCAAGTCAGGTGTGGAAAAGAATCATGCACAACCACACAAACATGAATATAGAAAGCATCATGATAAACACACAGGACAAACAGGCAGCTCCATTGTGCATCCACCTAATCTAAATGTGACAACGTTGAGTGTGATCTGTTATCAACTGTGCTCGTCTCATCGCAGATGTTTGGTTGAATCAGCTCCTGACACACCACAAAGCTCAGTTGAAATGATTTCTCGTCACATACATAATAGACTGAATACATGCAACAGAATAAATACATACTAAATATGAATCATCCAAATAGTATTAACATAAGTTAGCAGTTAAGAAATAACAGAAAAGAGGGACCATTTAAAAGAAACAAGCTGTATTACAGCTGAAATATTGGGAACAAACGATAACTTATATAAAAACGACATAGACAAAAAAGGTACATAATTCAATTATTTCAATGTTGTATTAATTATGTAGAAATACTAACTATTTAGTCTTTTAAATATCTTCAACTGCGGCTGATTTCCATGATTTAAAAGACTGAATGAAGACATCCACAGTGTCCACAACTGTTAAAGCACAAAATATCTCTTTGCAGATTCACAGTGAATCCAAATGATGCAAACTGTATATGCTGCCGGCTGTCTTGTATTTTAATAGTTGAACCAGTGTTTTTACTTTGGATTAAATGTTTTTATTTGATCTTCATTTGGGATTCAGTAAATTAAAGTAAATAATTGCACTATGTCGTCTCATGTTAAATCTAGCACCCCTCAAAGGCGAAGTCAAATGTTTGTTCACTGAAGCTTTTTTTCTCCTCCTGCATAATCAGTTTGAATATGTAAATCCACGTTATGAATAGATGAACATCTGCGGGCAATTCATTCAGTCAATAATGAGGCATTTAACAGAGTCTGGACTCAAGAAGCATGAAATTTAGCCGCAGCTTTAGCCCAATGAATTATCCACAAAACAAAATATATATATATGTGTTAATCTGAAGATGTAAAACAAACCGAGTACTGTTGTTTATGTCTGCACCCATCTGAGTTCACTTTTTGATGTTTTTGCGCACCAGAGAGCCCTGTCAACTTTTCGACCCTCCAGAGCTTTTGCGTTATTAAAGAGAGGCGTCAATGATGTTTGAGGACAACATGAGCCAGATGATGACATGCAATGAGAAAAAAATCACATGAACATAACGTAAAGATACTGCAGTACTTAAAGGCACAGTATAATCAGCAAGTCAAAGTCTTATTATGAATAAAATATCCCTGTAACTGGTACTATCTAGACGTTATTAGACTGTTACTGACACATTGTAGGCCACTGTTACTGTTGTAGATGTTTTACAGTAAATTACAGTAAAGGTTGTTTGTTCAGTGGTTTCCAATGTATGGCTCTAACCCTGCAAAGGGTCACAAAATAAATCTGAGGGGTCATATGATGGTTGAACAGAGAGAATTGAATGAAAAACCCCACATACAACAACATTACAACAAACATCTTTAATCTTCATGTATACCTGTTCTTTTGTTACTTTTAAGGGTCTAAAAAATGTTATTTCTGTAGTTTCTTTTTATTAGATCCACTCAGGAAACATTCTCTTTTACAGGTCTATGAACACATGAAATTGTAACACGTAACACATAAAAATGTACACGTTTCTAGTGAGATGATGTTCATGACAAGTAAGAGTCAGGTAACTAAACCTCTGAACACATCAGAAAGCATTCCATTACAGTCCCTCAGGTAAATGAGTAATATTGGGGTTATTGTAGATGTAATCTATTTTTCTATTGTAGTCATCAAATCTTGCCTTACTTGGTGCTTTAATGATTGGTTACTTGTACAATTCTATATAAATATGTTGGAGGGCTGTGGTTTAATACAAACAATGCATTGTATCTCTGTAGTACATGTACTCATGTGTCTCAATCAAGATTAAAATGGAAGTTTTGTAAAAAATAAAAACCTGAAAAAACATCCCAAATAGGGACAGTACATCTGTGTGCGTGTGTGCGCATGCATGTGCATGTGCATATGTGTGTGTGTGATGTGGCAGCTGGAGCTGCACAGTGATTTCCAAGGCAGAACTGGACAAAAATCAAACCCAGTAGAAGCTTTTCAAATACACAACAAATGGCTTCACACTGCTCCTCAATGGCCCATTATCTGATCTGCCTCTCCACAAGCCACGGTTAATCAATTTTATGCTTTGTGTTTGTCGCTGTGTTCCTCTGTGTGTGTGTGTGTGTGCGTGTGTGTGTGTGTGTGTGTGTGTGTGTGTGTGTGGTTTTGTGTGTGTGTCTGTTTGCTTGGACCCAGGACTCTGGGATTGATATCGGCGATATCAGCGAGAGGAAGGCTCTGAGGAAGAGGCTGCGGTGTAAAACTTTCCGATGGTATCTGGTCAACATCTACCCTGAGATGAGGATGTACAGCGACACCATCGCCTACGGAGTGGTAAGCCTCATCCTCCATCTTCATCTCAGTTTCATTTCAGCGCCGGAAAGAAAAAAAAAGCCAAAAACAAGTCAAGACAACAAGGCTTAGCAAATAATTGTAATCCCCTGTGTTGGGATGCGGATGGCTGCTGTCAAGAGCACAAACAGTTCACAAAGAGGAGGGTTTGCTGTAGAGACTCGAGCTCTTTCTTTCTCTTCTCAGAAGGCACTAAACATATTTATTTTGTTGAAGAAAGGTGGAAAAAATAAGGCTCTCCTCTGGAGTAAAAAGCCTTTAAGCAGTTAGATACTTTAAAGTGAAAATGCTAAAAAAAAACAAAAGACACAAATATGTTAAAAAACAAGTTGCAACATGCTGCAGCTAGACCAGCCCTCTTCAGGGTTTCATTAATCATCTTGTCAAAACCCGGGCTCAGTGAGTTGGACAAACAGGGAGAGCACACAGTGTTAAAGTTATTTAAGCAATATAAGGCAAAAACATCCTTATAAAAGAATATGCAGGCTGTAGATAAGTGGTGAATGCAATGGTGAATGTGTGTGGTGCTGTGAAGGCAAAACAAAGACCACAGACCAGATTTAGTGTTGACTAGAGAGAGAAAGAGAGAGAGACTGAAAGACTGAGAAGCCAGCTTAAATACTGAGGCCCAGCCTTACCCAGGTGCATGACATCAATTTACCGGCTCTGCCCTTTACTACCTGAAGGCAACCTGAGTGGAGAGAGATACAAGGCTACAGGAGGAGCACTGACACAGCAGGGGTCGTCACAATCTTAATACATTTCGATACATAGATGATGTTATACATTCATTGACTTTAAATATGGATGCAATTTAAACCTGCCACAGTTTTGCAGCAACATTTTGTTACAGTTAGAGAAGCCAAAAAGAAAAAACTGCACATGCTGGCAGTGTTCTTGTTGTTCTCAAACAGCTTCCTTTCCATGGTCCTCCCACCTCACGTCACTGTGCTGCACCCTAACACACATTGACACACAGACCACAGTGTAATGGCACGGCTTTCTATGTTTTCTGGATGCTGAATTTTTTTTCTTGTACAAATTGACGAATGGGGAAAGGATGTCACGAGGAAATAGGCCGGCCTCATTACATTCACTTCTGCAAGGTAGTCGACCTCATTATTCTATGTTTGCGACATGCATTTGATGGGCGAGTCAGTGGTTGGAGGAGTCAATAGATGCCACCAGAATGGCTGATAAATTGAGTTTACATTGCAGAAGAATGTGTTTTTTATATTTTATTCTCACCTTCTCTTTGTCAATGAGGGTAGCTTCATCTGTGAATCTCGGTGTTTAAAGGGCTAAACCTTTGTTAGAGCACTACAATCAAGATAGATATGTCACATTAAAGACACTTAATACTGTTTAACTCTGACTTTAAGCTCATGTTTATTTCCCACAGTGGGTCCCTGTTGTCTCGTGTTTCTTTCAGTAGAAATAATTTGGTCCTGAGACAGGGCACTGGACCATGTTGTTCCTGTGGATTTTCTGATTATCAGATATGAGTCGACTTCTCCTGAGCCAATGGGAAGCTGAATCATCTCTCGCTGTGTTCTCCTGATCTCACATCTTAACTTAATTCTCCCCCCACACAAACCAGCATCTCCACAGCTGCCTTCGGTACAGATTTGTGTCTTGCAATCAGGCAGACCTTTGTCATGATGCACATGAATAACCCTATGGCTCGGCTTCACAGTCTGAGTAATGTTCATCAAGCCTAACGCTTCTTATTTACATTTTTATAAAGATGAATGGATCATGGACGGTTGTAAAGTATGATTCAGGTTCTTGGATGATTCAATCCGCTCAGGCCGAGTGTCTTCTGTATTTTCTGTGTATATTTAATATTTACATTCTGTTTATTGAGAATAACAGAGGCGAGGTGATGATGATGGAAGATGGCTTATTTTCCTTCCAACATATAGCCTGTCCTCTCATACAAAATTGTAGATACATTTTTATATAATCACAGTGAGCACTGCAGCAAGCAGTGCTTAATGCTTGGATAATAGTTTCTTTCCCCTGAGAGAGAAATAATGTACTTCTACATTTATTTAAAAGAAGGGAGCAAAACCTTTCCAGTACAGAAAGGTGTCTTACCCTCACATAACACTTTCAAATTTCCTTCTCTAATCAGGATGGCTGTTTTCAGTTGTCTTATTACATAAACGTATAAAACAGAAAAATGAATCTTAAGAATTACCATCATTGGAAATATAATGTACAGAAAGGACCTTATATACAACATAGTAATCATAACAACCATTGTTTGAAATCTTTATTCTTTACCTACAAACAAGGAAATGGTTGAATATCAATTTTCCAACACAAAGGTTATTGCTTATTAAATCAGCTTCCCTCTGATTGGAGCGGTGTTGGAGGATGTTACCTTTCGTAGCGGATCATAACTATATGAGTATGTAAAATATAAGGCAACGAACAAAACTAACAAAATACTTCATAATCAATTCCAAAACACACAGGGAATCATTGTGGTTGTAATAAACAGGAGATATACGACCTTTAATTGCAGTCATCTTAAAACCCAGGCAGCAACATTCTCAATTTACAGTTTATGGCTTTTGGCAGTCCATGCTTTTGGTCTTATTTTCAAAGCAAGATGACTGAAAATCCTTTGAGTGTAGTCCTCCCTCTGTTTCCTGTCATGTATTTGCTTTGTTTGTACATTAAGGGATTAATTGTAATGTATATTGTTGTGAAATTGAAATTCACACTGAGTAGCATAGAATAAATACTTAGTGAGATTCAAAATGTCATGTGTACAACGTTCTTTTTTTAATTGTGTGTGTCTCTTAATGTCAGCTGAAAAACTCTCTGAAGATCGAGCTGTGTCTGGACCAGGGGCCTGACAACGACAATGTGCCCATCCTGTACCTCTGTCATGGGATGACACCTCAGGTACCAGCACCATCTCGCTCTCTCTGTCTGTCTGTCTCTCTCTCTCTCTCTCTCTCTCTCTCTCTTCTTTTTTCTCTGCAAGACTGTTTCATGCAGCATGTAGCATAAAGCCAGATTTAATACATCACCTCTCTATTTTATCTCCATCTTGGGTTCTTCTGACTCAATAAAACCTGCTCCATCTGGAAGAAAAATAATCTCCCCTTCCTTTGCCTTCGCATTGGATCAAACTCACAAGCTTTTCCTCATAAAACGGGATCAGGTTTCCTTTTTTGCACTTTACAGAAACAGACCTCAATGTTGTTAAATACATATAAAACGCATCTCCTATTTTTCATGCCCTTTCCTTAGGCATCAAGAATAAAATGCCATGTTACTGACAAAACAACAAGTTATATTGTGCCTGAACATTTGTCTCTGTCTCCGGATTTCTTCTAAATGTTTACTTTCTTATTTTCCATGAACATTAAAAGATTAAAGAGCAAAACCATTTCAGATCCACTGTGATACCCCTCTATTTTACTGTCACATGTTTTCACTCAGTCTCTTCAAGTGATGTCTTTGGACTGCTTGTCCAGGATATATTTCAGCCCCAGTAACTGGGCCTTCAAGTGTCTTCAAATGTTAGCATAGTCTGATTATCACTTACTTTCTCCTGGCTCTTTCAGCTCCTATCGATCTCTCCGTCCCATTATGTCTAAACAGACTGCTTTCAGAGATTGTTTAACCTTGCTGTGGCAGCTGAAAACTTGTCTTATGGAGTGAGACTTGATCTCACATTATCCCTCTCAATTTGAATGAATCTATTGGACATTTCACACTTATTACGCCTCTATTGACATTTGCACCACAGCGCAAATTAAAACTGATTCAGGAGAAAGCTGTATAATCTTGTAACGCCTTTTCTTTTTTAAAAACCCATACGATAAACTTCTAGAGCCCTTTCTGGGACCTAAATAACTCTAAAGCATACTTATTATAAATCTGTAATTCACTATAGCTCTCTGTTAATCCTGGCATATCAAACAACAGATTGGAGCAGCTCCAGCATTTCTAATGAGATTAGGGATATCTGCAAGACAAATCCAGTTGCTCTATTTTAGTGTTTGCATGTTACGTCATGGAGAGGAATTATTCCCTCTATAATAATACATGGAAATAGAAGGGTTTGAATGTTTGCTGTTTTCTGTCAAAACAAGGTTTTGCAGGTGCCAGCTATATGTTTCACTGTTTTGCTTTGGCAGAGATATCCTTTGTATTGCAGGTGTTGTGATAAATGCTACATCAGTGCACATGCATGAAAGGAGTCAGAAATACAAAGTTTACAATCCAGCACAGGTCTGACTTTACAAGAGCATGTTGTCAGTTACCGTACAATTCAGCATTTCAGCACAAGCGATGATAAAACATTCCGACTTAAGCTCAGTAACAATAGAAACCAGAGCTACATAACGTCTGGCAGTCTGAGCTGCTCCAAAAAGTGAGCAGCACAGATTTTTAAAATCACACTAGTCACTGTTTAATTTCTGTTGTGAAGGCGGCAGGAGGCCTTTTTTGGATAAGAGTAAAAAGCGAACAAGCTGCAGAAGTCGCAAACATGGCCAAGATGATTTATTTAGAAAGAAGAAATGATCTTGGAGTGCAAATAGTGGTGCAGAATTAGACATGTTAGATGTTCTGCTCCAAAACATGTTTACTCTGATGTGAATCTTAACTCCCCCATCCACCACTGATGTCTTAACCATTTTGTTTGAAGCAACTTGCTTGTCGCACGTTTTTAAACAATTTCTGCTGCTCAAGTTGAAGCTCAGGCACAAAGTTTTTTCTTCAAGTCTTCTCGGGTCATACAGTTTGGGAGCCACTAGTTGATGATTGATTGTCATCAATCAGTCAGTCATTGGTTCAACTATTCAAAATGTAGGCGTGTTGAAAGAGCAAATCAAATCAAGTTTACTTAAGTAGAGCACATAAACCTTAAAGCTGCACTGAAGGGCAGCACTGATATAAATGTACTTACACATTAGTAAGTTACACCAATGAGTAATCCAATATGAGCATTCATTCCTTTGTATTTATTTTCTATGTTTACTACACAAAACTAACAGCAGAAGACTTTGACTTCTGCTTCATTTGTCTGTCTGTAAATGTGTTCAATAGATTGTCTTTTTTGCTCTCTCTCTTCCAACTTGTGTTTATACCACTAAGCCTTTCCTTTCTGAAAAACAAAACATGCCTCTGCTGTAAATGATTTGGGGATTTTGTGAGGTTAATGTAAAAAAACAACTGCCTGCAAAAGAAACACAATCTAGGCAGGATTTCATCAGCCAGGGCACAATTAGTCTCATTGTCTCCCAATTCCTGATTTAATTATCAGTACTGTCTTTTAATATATTTTTTTTGTCTTTCCTCATTCTCATTTTAACAGGATAGCTTTACTCATGTTTAATGTATGTGAATAACACTTATATAGAGATTTTATCATATCCAAACAACAAAGAGCAAGCCTATTTCCTGCACAGTTTATTACTTACTTGGTTAAATACAAGCTCTAGAATAGTTGTTATTAAATGTCATTCCCCGCATGTCTTAAGATACAGCGAAGCACTTCACAGTTTGTTTGAAGTTGGATGTTCTTTCTTGTAGAATGTGTACTACACAAGTACTCAGCAGCTCCACATTGGGCTCCTCAGTCCCACCGTCGACGACGACGACAACAAGTGCCTGGTGGATGTGAACAGCAGACCGCGCCTCATTGAGTGCAGCTATGCTGCAGCCAAACGCATGAAGCTCCACTGGCTCTTTTCTCAGGTAACAACTAATGACACACACCCCACACATGGTCAGGAAACACAAGGCTCAAGAACACACGTTTTCTATTCTTTAGTCTGAGTAGTTTGTAGGAGAGGTTTGAGGTAGGAGAAAATAACAACTGTGGAGGCTGCTTTTTAATCATGCAAGTGGTTTAATTTACTATTTGACTGGATTTTCACTCAATCTTGCAGATCATTTAGTGACGAACACTCATTGAAACTTAATGATTGTCTTTATTCATTAGCGGCTCCGTGCTGCACAGAGTCTTTAAACAGAACAGGCAGTAACCTTAAAACAGCCCATAACAGCGGCTGAATTGGATTAACTGCATGCTTTGATTTGGGCTCAAAAGGCCTCATATTATTGTATGCTTTGCTGTCAGTGCAGCAGTAATTAAAAACTCTGCTTCTTGTTCAGCCAAATATGTATTAAAATCAAAATGTTTTCTATAACAAGAACAATATTCCTGACACTTGTGGATGGCTGCTGCCAGTGTGTCCATGTCAGGTATCCTCAAACTGAACTTTGAGAGGTCATTTTAGTTAATTCAGTAAGTTGAACAGGGACATATCAGATGGACTGGAGCATATCATGACTGAAATATGCACATATGCAAATTGTCAAGCAAAGATGAACCTATCAGCAGAGCCGAGAGGTATCACAATATGTTCATTTAAGAGATAACATGCATTACTGTTCATTGTTTTGAAAGTTGCATTAACCTGCTATGCTCTTGAAAATGACTTAGCTATTCCTTTATGTGTTGAAGATCTAAAATGTGAGCTTGCATGTAAAGATGAGTCATTTGTTGGCAGGTGCTGATATCTATGATTAGAAAACAAGTGCACATCAGTAGGAGGGACTGCATGACTTTGTTTTGATTGTTCCTTTATGTCAGTGTGTGTGGGTGATTCCTTTTTATTTCCCAGGAACAAACACCTATTGTTCTGTATATAGCATAGTAAATCCAATATTTAACATAGCATCCCACATGCCACAAGTTCACATATACATTCATCATCCTGACTCCCGGGGGCTTTTTTTTAACAAGCAGCAGCAGGATAACTTGGGTGAGTTGAGGGGCTTGAGGTTTAAAACTTGACCTTGTTCCAGGCCTTTGAATCACTTCCCACATGTTTGTATTCTTTATTCTATTTTTATCTTTTAATTGTGTTTGGCTAAAGGACTACAGTTTCCTCTGGTTTGAGAAACAACTGGACTGATAAAACAGAAGCTTCCTCTCCCTGCCAAAAGAGACAGAACTCTATTCTGTACTTTTCTTATATTGTGTCTTATATCTGCTCAATGTCATGTCTTTTAAAGCTCATAATGTTATTAATGCTTTGCTTTTAACTCTGTAAAGCACTTTGAATTGCTTTATGTATGAATGGTGCTCTATAAATAAACCTGCCTTGCCTTTGCATGGAATGTAATAATCTGTTATTTTTACCTGGAAAAATAAGCTTCAGTGCTTTTATGGGCTGTTTCAGGATCTCAGTAAATGGTGGTCCATAAATGTCCACTTTCAGTAGTTATAACCAATCTGTTATCAATAAAAAAAAGTGACTCCTGGACCTCACAGACGGACCAAACGACTGTGTAAATACAGACAGAATAATTCATTTCACGGTCTGTACAACCAGTCCAATCCTTTGGTCTTTTCCTCCCACATCCCTCTGCTTTCCTCTTATAGCTTTGGAAAGAGCTCTCTCTTCACAGCTGTCTCCACGCAGTATTGACTGTTGAAGACCTCCTCTTCAGTCACTTGCCCTTGCTCGACCATGACGCTGTAATGAGAAAATCCTGTCTCGTTTCTTTAGGATGTGCTAGAATTTTTGGGAGGGCTTTTATGCGCTCTCTTTTTAACAGAATGGGGAAACTGCTGTTGGACATAACTTTCTTTTTGCGCTAAAGGATTTGTTCTTCCTTCAGGCATAACTCTCATCTTAAAACATTTAATAATTTATTTTTAAAATAACGCAATAGCTGTGAAACTAATGATGCAGTTCTACAGTCCCTAATGCCTTTGTTTCAGCCTCTCTTCCTCCACAAAACCAGATGGTTTTTTTCTGGTGTGTTTTATGTTTCATATTTTTCTCTATGATTGTTCTCACTTATTATATTCTCAAAACCTTAGCCTTGCTAGGGAGATTGCTAATGACTTCACTGGCAATTACCTTGTTTTGTTTTTTACCTTCAAGCCATGGTGATGCTATCAACAGGGTAGTGTAAAAATCAGCCAAAACGCTCAGAGCTTTTCAGCAGCTCACATCTGCGCGTGTTCACAGCAGTGTTTATTTAAAGTTCTATTGAGCACACAAATTGTGTTCCTGCTGCACAGCTCAATTTTAACCATCCTGCTTTTATCTTTTCAGGGAGGATCCATTCAGAACAGGAAATCAAAGAGATGCCTAGAGCTTGTGGCGAGCACTGACAATGAGTTTGGCTACCAACTGGCTCTGCAGAAATGCACTGGACAGAAATGGTTCATCACAAATGTTCTGTTTAGCGGCTCTTTATGATCGACTGCTGAAAAGGACGCTGCAGTGAAAAGCACACAGGAATGGAAATATGAGTGGGTACTTTTATGTTCACGTGTAAGTGCAAGATGTTGTTTTTTTAGCGTGTGAAAGGATTTGAAGGAGGAGTCCACAGAAGAGTGGGCACAGTTTGACATCATTTGCGACTCCACAGTGTCCTCTGATGAGCAGTCGACATCACATCGTAAATGTTAAACATTTTATGTTGCCTACAGGATCAGCCATAGTTGGCCAATATTTTGCAGGTTTGACGTATAATATATTTAGTATATTTTGTGGTAAATCTGGTACAGTCAGATATTGGTTGACTAAAAAGAAGTATTGGGTCCAATATGTTTTCTACTGATCATTACTGCTACTGTGTAGCAAGCTTTCTCAATCTGTTTCTGCTGTAATTATTTGATTTTAATGTCTCAGGTTTCTAGGTTTATTATGATGTTCAGCTGTACAGATGTGGGGCAAGGTGGGATACATCAGAAAATGATTATTTTCTAAGTGTAAATATTTGAAATATTTGTAATAAGTAACAGTAAAACCTGTTGTAACTACTGAGTACAATTGTCCTTTTTTCCCTTCTGTGATCAAACACATAGCATCACCCTTTAGTTAAAAAATAAAAGGACTTGATTCCACAAATACCAAACCAATTTTTAATTGTGAAGAATGTCTGTATTACAAAAGCTTTGTAATGCTCTTCAGCTAAAGAAAATCATGCAAATAGAAAAAACACCAGCAAAGGTAAAAAAAAAAAAGCCGTTCACCAATTAGACAACACGGATTCGGCAAAATGAAATACACTGCTAGGTCAGGCAACTGTTGCCATGGTTTGTGGCTCATGGAGAAACGTTCAGGCACGCCAGTGAATGTAGGTCACGTGTGTTTTAGTAGAACTTGCGGGCGAACAATAAGGTATTGTATTTTGAAGCAACTTGCACAGAAAAGAAATATGAAGCATAAAAACGGGTAGAATGTGAGAAATAACATGGCCTGTTTGATCAGATAGAAAAAATAAAACAGAGGCTTAACTGTTCAAATCAGAGACATCTAGGACAAAGGAATAAAATGCTGTCTAGACATGTAGTTAACATTGCACATGCTGTGTTAGCCTTTTCATTATATATGCTAAAGATTACGATGAGATTACTGATATTACAATTTGAATACTAGACTGTTACTAACTGTGGAAGGATACTTAGTAAGATTGATCCAATGGTAGCATGAAACATACAAAATCCTTCATTGGTATCTCACTTTCTTAATCCCACAGAAACGTGGTCATCTTTAATGTCTAATGAATCTGTGTTTTTATATCTGTGCTGTATTTTCTGTGTTAAATGTGTTGTCAACTTTTGGTTTCTGTATTAGCTTGAGTTTTTTCCAATCAATGTGTGTTTTCGGGAACACACTCAGAAACTGGAACAGATACCCTTGCTCTATCTGAGGAACAAAATCCATCTGCCAGCACCTCTAAAACTCAAAGCTTAACACATTTTATGTTGTTTGTTTAGTCTGTACACGAGCAGAACACAATTTAATACACAGGTTTTGGTTCACATTATGAGTCACCCAGGTTTTTGATAAGATTTCATGAAATCTTTTATCTTTACTGACAAATAGTAGTGTACATAAAGCCCCCATCCAAAAGCAGAGATCTGGCTTTAAAACAGGTTTGTATTGAACAACACAGAGTGGTTATATTGAAGTCAGTCTTAAATGACAAGTACATTGGCAGTAGCCAAGAAACAGGACTGCTATCTGCTCTGACTGATGTTTGCACCTGGGGAGGAGACGAGTTGCAAAGCCTGTTTTCAACATGCCAGTCCTCATTAGCATCCACAGTCAAGCCGTGCTGGGCAAACCATGGCATTAAATATACATGAAAACCCACTTTCATCCCAAGGACCTCCCTCATTAACACATCTAAATATATGCAATAACAGCGCCTCTGCATGCTCAAACTTTTCAATGCAACAAATTTAACAAGGCTGTAATCCCCTGCACATTACTTACATCCTTCTTTGGATGACCGCTTGACCTGACTTCCTCCTTATACACTTTCCAAATGTAACTTTTAGCTTCAGAATGACTGTATATAGGGAATCTATTTGTTTTTTGTTTTTTATTATACTATGATCATAAATGCATGTATTTCCCACATTGATTTAGCAAATCATCTTATGCTACAAAATAACTTTTAAGGTTGGAGTAAACTACAGAGATGTGGAGTAAACACATCAAACCGTGTCCCGCCAAGCTGTCTGTCTGAGCATGAGTCACAGACAGTATTTCAAAAAAAGTGGCCTCATTTGAATGAAGCCTATGCAGTAATATCCCTATCTGTCCTCTTGCAAAATCATACAGTCATTTTCTTTGTAACAGACTTTGAATACTGACTTTGAACAGGTATGTCATTGCTTCTTCTCTGTAGATACTGTCCTGAAAATTGTATTCATTTGAGCAATTTTATTAAGCAGCATGCTAATGAGAGAGCACTTTAAGAAAGTACTAATCTGACAAGTATATACATTGGGATTCATTTTGCAGCCTCACCCACTGGCCATCCCTTTCTCTTTACGGATTCTACGACATAAAAAAATTAGAATCTGTACATGTGCACTTGACTTATATGATTAGTGTTCTCCTTGTTTTGCCCTCGCCCTTCTTTCCAGAGTGTGCTTCAGGCACAGTGTCTTTATCAGACACAGAACAGTCAGAAAGGGCATGGCCACGCTATTATTTCGCGATTTATTTCGCACACTTGGGCAAACTCTTCCAAACGAAAAACCATAGGGCCTCTGCTCTGGCCCTTATAGGTGAGCTAGATGGCGCTTGGCTTAGCTAACCTATTACTGGTAATAGCTTTATATTTACCCTACAAACATGAGTGTATATTTCTTAAAAAAGACAGTATTTTTATTAACGTCAAACAATTTATTTAAATGCAATTAAAATCACCACCCAACTTTCTCTTTCCCTGTTTTTTATTTCACTCTGTTCTTCATCTTTTCACCTCATGTGGGAAACGACTCACAGAGACAACCTATCATTTCTTGTCATGAATGCAGAGACAATACAAATTCAACTTATGGCAGAGCCTGCGGTGTGATCAGGGGACTCAACAGAGTTTTGAATACCATATGGTTCAAGGAAGCAGCTTGTCAGGAGCTAGAATATCTGAACACCCCCGCAGGATCCAGAGCGAGGAGGTTTCCTGTGTTCTCTCTGCTGCAGGTGAGCCACATGTAGCCTAGTTATATTGAGGCTGTCTGTGCGGCAGGGTGAGTGGGACAACTTAGCCACTACAATTGAAAATAAACATAAATCCTGCAAAAGCAGAAATAAATCTTCAGCTAAAAACTAGACCAAGCAAACAATTTTTGAGGGAGTTTTAAAGCAGCAAAAGATTTAGTAGAACATGCACGTGGTTGTGAAATCTGTGTTTCCTCCTCACAGCCCAAAAGCTTCACATGTGGATAAATGTCACTGTTAATTGTTTTCAGTGAGAGGGAATATGAGTTGTAGCTGTGTTGCCATGGTGACCGCTCCTAGACTGCATATTCTAAAACATTCCAGAAGTCAGGGTATAGATGAGAATAATAAAGAGAGACTTGACAGATGGCAGATGAACTTTAATCTTTGCCCTTTTTATGTTACACTTAAATACTTCAAATGGACGGGCTGACATGTGTTTGTTTTTGTGCATTTCTGTCCACGCTGTATGTGCAGTGAAAGAACATACTGGTGATCAGGGTTTTCTCCGGTGTAAATGAAGTTTTATCGCAAGCTGAAAATTAAAGTCTATGATGAAAAGGCAGAAAGAGAGTCAAGTCATCTCTAACAAGCCAGTCAGGCATGTTTCATTGCAGGAGGCTTTTTGCTTTGCATTTAATAAACTAAATTACTTACAAACATCTGATATATTTTGATTACCTCTTAACATAAAAATGCAATTTATTATGTTGAAATTAGACCCAGAAGTACTTACCTGCTGAATGAATAGAGTTGATTTCTTATTGTACTACCTGTGATGAAAACGGCACAGGCCTGCTTCCTTTCTTTTTCCCAGTTTAGTACTGCAAGTCATTTCTAATGACTTATTTTCATCAGTTGATTGAAGATAATATATTTAAGTCTGCCATGAGGTTTATAGCCCCAATAGACTTCACTTGTTCTTGTATTGTTAAATTCAGTAAGTGTTAACAGCTCAGAGGATGTATATGTTGTGACATGTTATTCATTGCAGTTGAACTGTTTTTTGACAGTGATGGATGAGGCTCTAGGAGAAAGCCTATGAATCAGCTTAAACATTGAAAATTGTTATTGACTTTATTAATCCTGTTATGATGCAGGGATCAGCTGCCACTTAATCAATCACTGGTAATAATTATGGAGTCAAAACTGCAGAGCACATTATCCTGTATGAAAACTTAGAAAACTCAGCCACAGCTTGTGTCCAAAACTGTTACTCCTAATTCAGCAGCTTGTATTGGGCGCTAAACAGTTTAGTTATCCTCTTTAGTATATTATCCTGAAAATGTTGCTTAATACAGCCAACTTGTCTTTACAAGGTAGCAGGTGGAACCACAAGTGGAAGTGGAAGTGTATAATAATATAATCTAAATGGAGAAAAAGCATGGCCTTGTCAAAACTCATAAAAAGCGGAGGACAGTGAGCTTAAGAGGACTTCTTAAGCTCACTGCTTCACACTGAATATCTTGCTTGTGTAAGCCAACAAAAATGGAAGTGTATTCATTTTTTTACATATTTTTATGGGGAATATGTGTTTTCGCTTGTCAATTGGTACATGAGGTTGGACCAGAATAATAGCCTACTTGTGCTTCCATTTGCTGTGACAAAAATAATCTTCTTTTTCATTATTCCACTAAAAATACCCACCCCTGACACCACTGACCTGAAATTTGTGACAGCCACTTTCATGTAATGAGTAGAAAGTATGTGAAATCACATCTAGGAATGGCTTATCACTGCAATCTGGGTTTAGACTCTGCCTCTCCTCTTCTGCGGCACTACTCAGAAAGACATCTTGAGAGCATTGGAGCAAAACTCTATTTCTATTCTTGTCCTCCTGCACGCAGAGATGCATTGCATACGGGATCCTCCAGAACAGACAAAATTGATCATGAAGGTTTTCACAGCTGAAGACTTTCCTGGTTCTGCTCTTCTCTCTGAAACATTTCAGTTCTGGAGTAAGTGAACACAACCAGCTCTGCACAGTATGAGAGGTTTAATGAAGCTAATAGACATGACAGTTTTCATTTCATTGGTTATTGTAGAATCCTGTGAAGCCTAAGTATATGTGACAACACCACCTTGAAATGTGTGTTATTCTGAAGTCAGCTCTTCAATGCAGGTATAACTGAGGACATGACAGCTTCTCTGCACCTGTCGCACACAATCTGTCAATCAGTCAGTCAGTCTTATTTTCTGTCTCTGTGTGCAACTGTTCGTGCTGGAAAGTAACTAAGAAAATGAACATGAGTGCTGAAATCAAGCACAGGACTTAGGTACTTTTACATTGCCATTTCATGCGC